GCAATAGTATGAGGAAAGACTCCATAAACTTTCATTGTTATGCAGATGATACTCAGTTATATCTATCGATCAAGCCAGATGAAAGTTATCAGTTAGCTAAACTTCAAATGTGGCTTCAGGATGTTAAAACCTGGATGACCTGTAATTTTCTAATGTTAAACTCAGATAAAACTGAACTTATTGTTCTAGGGCCCAAGCACCTCCATGATGCATTATCTAAAGATATAGTTTCTCTTGATGGCATCGCCCTGGCCTCCAGCACCACTGTGAGGAATCTTAGAGTTATCTTTGATCAGGACATGCCGTTTAAGTCTCACATTACGCCTATTTCAAGGACCGCCTTTTTTCACCTATGTAATATTGCGAAAATCAGGAACATCCTGCCTAAAAATGATGCAGAAAAGCTAGTCCATGCATTTGTTACTTCTAGGCTGGACTAGGCTTATTATCAGGCTGCTCGAAAAAGTCCATTAAGACTCCTGAGCTGATCCAGAATGCTGCAGCATGTGTTCTGATGGGAAACATATTTCTCCTGTTTTAGCTCCTTTGCATTGGCTTCCAGTAAAAGAATAGAATTTAAAATCCTTCTTCTCACCTACAAAGCTCTTAATGGTCAGGCACCATCTTATCTTAAAGAGCTCATAGTACCTTACTACCCCACACGAGCACTGCGCTCCCAGAATGCAGGGTTACTTGTGTTCCAGTTTGGGTTCAGGAGGCAGACACCATCTCCACATTTAAGAGTAGGCTTAAGACTTTCCTCTTTGATAAAGCTTATAGTTAGGGCTGGCTCAGGTGAGTCCTGAACCATCCCTTAGTTATGCTGCTACAGGGCTAGACTGCCGGGGGATTTCCCATGATGCACTGAGCTCCCCTCTACTCTTCTTTCTCTCCCTCTGTAAGCAACCTCATCCTATTAATGCATGGTACTAACTCGATTTCTCCCCTTTCCCGTAGTCTTGTGCTTTCTCGTCCCTCTCCTCTCTCCTCCTATCACTTCCTGCAGGTGTTTCTGGCTCTGGAGACTCCACAGTCTGGATCTGTGGTTGCCAATCTCCTGCTGCCCCTGTGTTCCTGCTCGACACCCTCTGCTACAATTATTGTTGCTAGTCCTATTGTTATTACTGTTATTATAATCACTAACATTACGATTATTATCATTAACACTACTATAAATATCTGTACCATTATTCATGCATTAACATTACCTTTACTGACTGTACCTCTGTGTATATATTGTGTAGGCTGCCTCCCTCCCCTCTCTCTGTCTCCTTCCATCCCCCTCCCTCTTTCTCTCTCTCTTTCTCTCATTCCGAACCGGTCGAGGCAGAAGACTGCCCACCCTGAGCCATGGTTCTGCTTGAGGTTTCTGCTTCTTAAAAGGAAGTTTTTCCTTGCCTCTGTCGCCTAGTGCTTGCTCTTGCTCTGGGAACTGTTGGGTTTCTGTAAATATCATCACAGAGTACGGACAAGACCTGCGCTCAGAGATAACTGTTGTTATAATTTGGTGCTATATAAATAAAACTGAATTGAATTGAATTGAATAAATTCTCTTTTTCTAAGTTTTAAGTTTCATTTAAAATTTTCTTCGCCTTTATTGATTATGTATTAAGTATCTTATTTTGAATTCTTTTTCATATTCTCGCTGTCGCATCTGTTAACCCTTTTAGGGCCAGTAAGTTACTTTCCAAATTTGCCAGACCATTCAGGTTGTACAGGTAGTCCAGCTCCTCTAGGATGGCACATCCATTTGCGCTGTTGCAAGAAGGTTAGCTGTGTCTCCCAGCACAGTCTCAAGAACATAGAGAAGATACCAGAAGATGGCCATTACACTGGACAGGGCTGTAGAAGAGCATCAACCCAGCAGCAGGTATCTAGATCCTTTGTCAAGGAGGAACAGGAGGAGCACTGCCAGAGCCCTACAAAAAGACCTCCAGTGATCAGTCAGTTTCTGACCAAACCAAACATGAGTGCTGTCCTCTAATGGAATCTGTGCTCACATCCCAGTGGCATACACTTAACATGTGAGAGCTGATTCACACAGAGTACACGGCACCATTGTCAGCCATTGTCAGAACTTACGCTGCTACAGTGGTTCTGGGTTTCCTCTGTTGCAGGATAATGCAGTGTACACAGTGTATAAATTGTACAGTAAAGATTTTGAACTTCTAACACTGTGACCAACAGTCCATAACTAAAGTATCACTATATTATCACATGATAAAACAAAATGTGTCCAAACTCCTCCTGCACTGTAAGCTTTTATTGGGAAATTAATAATGCTAACAATAATTAATATTCCATTTGCTTTGTTGGAAAGGTAGAAGATCAGTGTTCAAATGGTAGTAATATAAAGAGAGCGAAATATTTTTGTAGCAACATCTAGTTTTGTCAAATTAGAATGCACAGATATCAAATAATGATAAACAACAATAAAATGATAATAATAATCAACATGGATTTCCCAAATGACAGTGTAAGATTTTTGACATTATCCTTTTCAGGGTTGGGGAGTGACATATTACATGTAACAGCGTTACGTAATTGGGATACAAAAAAAAGGTAACTGTATCCCGTTACCGTACAGAAAAAATAGACATTATCAGATTACAGGTACATATTGTAAAATCAGGGATTGCTCATAGGGATTACTTTAAGCAGAAACTTTCCATGAAACAGAAGACACAGTGCCATTTGCCTCCATATAGCGCCGACAGTGTGTTCACGCCCCTACCCCGTCATGCAGACTCTGTGCAGACTAGTTCCAGTTCTCAGTGATGGGGACCGAGCACAGCCTCCGAGACCGACAGAGGCCAGTTTGACCAGTGGGAATACAGTACCGAGGTGGTTTTCTTGCAGGATTTGGCTCATTGCATCCCTGGGCTGAGTAACCTAATAGAACTGCTAGCAGCATGGCTGACTGACCTACAGTTAGCGGTTTAGCAAAAAGTAAAGCAATCCATCAAGGAGCTCTGCATACTTCATCTCAATACTGGATTTGCTGTTGGTCTTTGAGGCTGTGTTCGGTCCTGTTCACGCCGTGTTCACTGGGAGTCTGCTGAGTGAGGTTTCGTTGCCTGCTCGCCTGGCTATGGTTCCCAATCTGGCTGTACCCCGCAATCAACTAAAAGTAATCAGATTACATTATGAGGACATATCCTGTGATTTGTGAGGATTGGAGAATATCTGATTTATAGTCTAATTTGTGTAATGCCACGCCCATTTCTTGGGCTTGTAGCGCCCCCTTATGGTTGATTTGAATAGAACTTTCAGGGTATGTCTGCGACAACTGTGTGGATATATTCTGTGACAGTTATGATGATTGGACCAACATTTGCTGATTTGTGTCCATTTATGGACACAAGAGAGTCCATAAATGTGTCCATTTATGGACTCAAATCATAAATGGATGTGCTTATCTCTAATTCTATTGGCCTCTCTTCATCACAGGGTGAGTGAAATAATTGACTCCTCAAAAATGTGTGGTCACCCGGCCAATTTTGTTTATGGTTACTCAGAAACGAGGGGTGGCTCAACTTCCCCACAGGCTCAAATTACCCCTCTCTCCCCTACTTGTAGAAAATTCTGAAGAATGCAGGAATAACGGTAAAGACCCAAAGCCCCTGATAAATGCTTTTTCCAGACAGTGGGCTGACCAGGGACAAATTCCGGGCCATTTTTTAATTCCACCCCTGGACTACAGAGAGGGGTGGTGCTGTGTGTGGTAGTCTGATCTCACAGCAGAGTACACACACTCTTCTGGAGACTCTCTCTTTTTCTTCACTCTTTTCACTTTTGTAGTCGAGAAATTCAGTGCTGCATAGTTTACTGCCTCTGCATCACAATCCTGCAAATAAGAACTATTAATACATATCTTATACAATATAACTCTTAAATCTGCTTTTGAGTACTAACAGTGCTCTTGTTGACATTCTATCAATGACAATTATGTAACAATGGTGGAAGTTAACTGTGTATTAAATGTATTAAATATACTAAATATTGCATAGTTTGTAATTTCATTTGGCAACCTAATATGTTGGCTAAAGAAAACATAAGTTTTAATGAACCTTTAATTATGTGAAACGAAATGAAATATCTTGCAGTGACAGAGATTGAGACAAAAAAGGATAAGAGTGGATCTAAGACTTTAGTTAAGTCGGCTCTGCCAGAAAGAGAAGCCTAAGGAGTCTAGAGACATACAGTGATAATGATTTTAACATTGAACACTGAAAAGTAGGATGCTTTTTGCCTCTCAGTTTGGTGCCAGTTGTCAAAGATAAGCATATTTACCAGCTCAGTTGATTGATCCATTATTGACCTGTCATGTCCAGGGTTACAGTAGGCACTCTTTGCTTCTGCTGATAAAAGCAAAGGCTTAGAAAGTCTTTACAGTTACACATCCGACTCGTGTATCTGTTACACATCCAACTCGTGTATGGTATCAGAGTATGACATAACTTAATACTACTAGAATTTAAGTATTATTTAATATAATGTTATCAGTGTAACAGCTTTGTGTGATTTCAATTAGACAAACACACATATTGTGTTACTCTTTTTCATAAAGTTTGTCAAATGAAAACAGAATGTTTGGATAAATGTCATAAATGTATTTTAAGGTAGTAATCTTGAAGTTTACCCGTTGAGTTTTTCTTAGATAAATTCATTCTATTTATTCCAAATTTACCACAAAACTGTAGTTATTTGTTTTCGAAACTCAACATGCAAAATGTATGGTGAGCTTATAAAATTACATTAATGTGTCTTATTTTTCTTTAATTGATTATTTAAAGGGTGAAAAAGATTAGACTCTTGTAATGTTGCCATGGTATCTTTTACATATGTTACCATAATGCATACATAACATTACTAAAACTGATAAATTACTACCTAAAGTGCAAAAAAGTTATTCAATAGTTTATAATTGCAAATGTAGGTGACACATAAAGGACAATTTCATGTTGGAACATGAGCATAGATCAATGCATTAAAAAAATCTAAGAACATTTGAGGAACATACCTTTGCAATATTTGCAAACTCTGATTCGATTTATGTGGAATACAAGGAGAACAATCACAATCACACAGCAGGCTAACAGTGCCCCGAGCACAATGGCAACAATTGAGTCGAGTTCTGGTCCTGCAATTATAAAAATGTCAAAAGAGGCAAATCATTATTCACATCATTCACGTTAGTTAATTTCAGTGACTACCTAGAGCAGTATTAAGCAATAATGCAGTTTTTTCAACATGCCTAATGAGAATAAATTAACAAATATAAGAAAGGCATGAAAAGAACAATTTAAAAAGAAAATGGATAGTGGATGTGAATGTGGATAGCTTAGTTGGTAGAGTGTGCAACACATGTGCAACGCTGAGTCCTTACTGCAGCGACCCAGGTTCGAGTCAAATCTGCGCCCCCTCTCTCTCTCCCTCATTACCTCTCTCTGTCCCCCGGCCTATCAAATAAAGGCAACAACAATTTGTTTTTCAAAAACCTCTTCTTTGTCTAACATTTAACATATGACAGATCTTTGATTCTGTCTGACTTAAGTATGCAATTTGAAAGGGAACTTATGCACATAGATTAGACATTGACATGAACTACAAATTTAATTGTGTTATGCATATATTTTGAGCTGTATAATGACAAATAAACAATCTTCTACCTTCTACATATATACATAAATATATCAATGAATTATTGATAGTCCTTATACGTTTTTGAACAACATAATGTATCAAAATTATACTCACATAATGAAATAGTTGTTAAATTAATTTAAAACTTGATGACTGGAGCTTTTTATAGCGTCCATTTTGAACTGGAACAACTAATTGGAAGCCATCAGAAAGCTAATTCATTACAATATGCTATGACATATCTAAATGGCTGCCATGACTGTTGCGTTTTTATCAAATAACATAATATTTTAATCTGACAAATCTGACCTGCGTTAATAGTTAAGATGTGTTAAAGATTCACATTTGACATTAAAGACTTTAAAAACATACTTGTCTCCACTTTTGTTCCTTCACCAAACAGGATCTCTCCACATGTGACCACAGCACAGTAGTAAGTCCCAGCATCAGAGGAGCTCTGTATAGTTTTGGACAGACTGTAGACACAGCTCTTTTCCACTTGTTCGTCACTGCTCTTCTTGGGAGTGTAAATGATGCTTGGATAGAATTTTTCTGATTCAGCTCTGAACCAGTACACACTGTGTTCACCTGGACACTGAGATGTGTTTCCTTTATTCTTGGAGGGAAGTGAACACTGGAGAGTCAATGTGCCTCCTGACTGGACTGATGCTGTCTCTGGAGTTTGTTTCACGTTGACAGATTTCTGCTGACTTCGATCTGTGTGATTGAGTTAAAAAAGGCAACATCAAAAGTGATTCACAATCTCAGTTATTTGTATGACTTAAAACTAATGGATGACTGTCAGTTCGATATGGAAAGTAACTAATTTTACCATTCACAGCCAAGAAGGTGCCTTTAACAAAGCTCTGTGAATATGGTGTTCCACTTTGACACAAGTATGTTGCTTCATCCTCTTTACTGACATTTCTAATGGTGAGCAAATACTCAGCCTGCCCCTCTGTGACTGTAAAACGTGAGTTGTTAAATTGTGCTGTAAATGTTTGTCGGTTAAAAGTTCCTGCAGCAACTGATTGGACCATATAGCCAAGAGACTGCTTATACCAGTGAAAGAATTTCCCTTCCTTCTCAGAAACTGGACAATGCAAAGTAACATTCCCACCAACTTCAACCACAGTCAAACAGATCGGGCGAGGATCATCTGCACTTTGAATCAGGTCTGAAGAGATAAAAAGAAATTTACAAAGATAAAAACAATAAATGACGGAAAGTATCTAGCGTTAGAAAGATTATTGCATTGCCTTCTCTTTTAACAACATTTTAGCGCAGGTCAATATATAAACAGTCATTGTTTAGAGTTGCACTTACACACTGTACTAAGCAGAATCAAAGCAGTCAGTCTTCCGGTCATTGTGGTAAAACAGCTTTCTCAAGCACAACTGATGCCTTCCTACCTAAATGAAGGTTTAGTCACAAGATCATCAAAGTCTACAAAGTGGAAATCGTCCTGATTGGCTGAAACGCAGAAAATGCACTTCCTCATACTTGCTTCAAATCCATGTTCCATTTTCAACGACTTTTAGATGAACTTGTATTGTTTATTATTGTTTTTTAGTTAGACTAGTTAATCGTGAGTCAAATTCAGGTGTCACTTCACTTTTTCTGTGTGTTGTCCCTAGTTTTTTTAATGTGGTTTAAAAATAACTGCATGTGTATTGTAACTAACAATAGCTTGTAGCTGTAGCCACCTCAGATGTAGTCTTTTCCTGCATTTGTGACATAAACCTTGTGAACAAGTTTATAAACTCATAAGCAATAAATACTCATACTAAAAGAGTCTGTTTGTTACAGAGTTGCCTCAACATTTGTGTAAAGGGTGTTCAAACTAGGTATTTTTTTCAGTTCTATTTTGTCAGTGTCAAAATGACTTACAATTCTTCTGGAAGCAGTGTGTCATAAACAGTATCGGACTGTCTGAGGGGCAGGGTCAAAAAGTGCCTGTGGTGAAACAGTAACCTACTGTAAATGGTATTGCACCACATTTTCTCCACTGGAAGGGAGTCATAGAGAGCCCTACATCAAGTTTTCTCCATTTTAAGGGCACCCATTAGTGTACTGCATAAACTTTTCTCTACTGCAAGGGCATTTTCTTGGTTGGTTATATGTTATATGTTTTTAATGTGCCGTTAATGTGTCGTTTGTTGTATGTTGGAGAACCTCAATGGCAATAAGACTTTTAGGCTTTATTATTGTGTGTCAATCCTCGATGATCGTTGAGTGTTGTGTATTTTCATGATGGGTGTGGAGAGCACTGACTTTCATGCTAGAGAGATCATCTATGACACCATGACTGTAATCTTTCTCTGATCTCACGTTTTGCTTTCCTGATCTGAAAAATACTGTTACATTGACTGGAGATGGGTACTTTGCCTTTCTTGTCTCAAAGCACTTCATAAAGGCATTTTGCATTTGTGTCTGGAGAACAACATGCAAGGCCACATGCAGAAGCTGCACTCATAGACAAGTTCTGTGACGGGCCATTTCTTACTCAAAAGAGAACTCAATAGGCTTCAACAGGATATGTAGCGAGGTTAGAGATGCAAGCAGCTACAAGAGGTTAATTTTAGTTTAAACAATGGACCTTGTTGTTAGTTACTTTTACTTTACTGTATATATGCACATTTATAGTGTAAATCACTGTCTAAAAAAATCTTATTTTAAAATTTTGATCATCATAAGGAGCCTACTTTCTTTGCATCCATTACGAAAAAAGTAAGGAAGTCAAGCAGTCAAACAATACACTGCACTTTTGATGTCAAACAGGATTCTGCATTACATGGTGCAAAGTTCAGCTGTGTTCTATTTTATTATGTGATGGATCTTACTGAGCACATAGGAGTGCACATGGACAATAAACTTGATTGGGCAAAGAACACTCTAACCCTCTACATGAAGGGTCAGAGCCAGCTCTACTTTCTGAGGAGGCTAAGGCCCTTTAATATCTGCAGGACAATGCTGAGGATGTTTTATGAGTCTGTAGTGGCCAGTGCTATCCTGTTTACTGTTGTATGTTGGGGTAGCAGGTTGAGGTTAGCGGATACTAATATACACAACAAATTGATCTGCAAGTGACATTGTGGGTGTGTTGCTGGACTCTCTGGTGGTGGTGTCAGAGCGGAGGATGCTGTCCAAACTGCATGTCGTCTTGGACAATGTCTCCGACCCACTCCATGACGTGCTTGTCAAACACAGGAGCACTTTCAGTGACTCCTAGATGTACCACAGAGCACCACAGGAAGTCATTCCTGCCTGTGCCTAACAAACTCTTTAACTCCTCCCTCAGAGTGTCAAACACTTGATCTCATAGTAAGTGCATTACCTGACATATAGTAGTATATTATCTGTTTCAACACTAATGTGCAACATTCTCTGCTTCAATACTCTGGTTACTCTGTCTCAATACTGGAGTTTTTAAGGATTGTGTCCATTCCACATCAACACTACAAGTACTCATTATGACTATTAGTTTTAATTATCTTCTTCTCTTTATCATTACACTTCTGTTAATACTGTAAAATACTCTACATATCCACACTCCTTATATTTAGATTTTAGATTTCTATCCATTCCATGTCAATCCTACCAGTACTCATTATTACTATCAAATTCACTACTACTATGTATATTACATTTCTGTTAATAAAAATACTGTACATATCAACACTCTTTATATTATATATATAATTATATATTTGTATGTTTTATATTTGCACATTTTGTTGTATTTTCTACTTACCAGTTTTCTATTATTATTTCTATTCCTTTTTGACATGCAAGTAAGCAATTTGTACAAAGAATTTCCCCTCAGGGATCAATAAAGTATTTCTGATTCTGATTCTGATCTTAAAGGAGTGGTTTAACATTTTGCTTATTCGTTCTCTTCCAAAAGTAAGAGAAGAAGATTGATACCACTCACATGTTTGTGCATTAAGTAGAGGAGCTGGAACAAGACAATTACCTTAGCTTAGCATAAAGCCTGGAAACGGGGAAACTGCTTACCTGGCTTTATTCCAAAAATAGACTGACAAATACACCTAAAGCTCACTAATAAGCACGTATGTTGTTTAATTAGTACATATAACAGAAATGTAAAAACATCAATGAGTGGTTTTATGCAGAGTTACATGTTATTATGAACAACAATGAACAACAGAGGTGCGGTGACTTCCCAGAATCTTTGATGTCACCACGTGGTTGCCCGGCAACCAGTGAAGACACAGCACAAACAATCTAGGCGGATTAATTGTTTTTTGTCAAGAAATAAGTACAGCACATAACTGCTCCTAAAACAACAAATTGTCATGTTTACAGTCTTTCTTAAATATAAAAGAGCCGAACTTTTTTTCTTGACACTCAGTGGATTTCCGTCTTCTTGCTTTCTATTGTAGGGAGCTCCACTGATTCACTGTCTCTGCCTCACCATCACCATAGATTAAGACAGGACTTAAGGGCTCACTAGAGCGAACAATGTTCATGAGCCTTTGGACAAACCAGCTCTGCTCACAAACAAGACTTATCCTGAAAAGTATACAGTATCTTTTGATTTCTTTACAGTAGAATGCTCATGCAGGGGTCACAGATACCTTGTGTTTTGATAAGTTAATTGTGCCAAATTGCCCATAATGGGTAATAATCTCACATTGCAAATTATGGCTTGTATGGTAACAAAATTTTGCATCACCTAGGCTTTCTGTGATGTCCTGGATTTTTCCCTGGATTTTTTGAATTTTCTAAAAAAAAATTAAAAAATGTTCTCCATGTTTGCAGCGTTACTAAACTTATCTTCAGTCTCTTGAGAAAATAAGAATGCCAATTACAATCACGCAGAGAGTCAATAGCATCACAAGGATGATGATAACCAGGTCCGATTGTTGTCCTGAAATAAAAGAAAATTGTCAGCAGAGATTTAACTTTTTGTTCCACATTTACATTTACCTCATTCATGAATTTTGGGGGGCTCAACACAAAAAATCTTACGTAATTCAAAATATATTTTGTTTAAAAAGTTATATAATTGAAAGTACAAATTTTTAATGATTTTAAGAACTATTTTGGTGTCTTGTGTCAGCCATTCCTGCCATGATTTGTGTGTCAGGTATCGTAAAATTACTTTCCCTCAGTTTGCCAAGATATGTTGCTGTTGTGATGTTTGGAACATGTTAACTTCGTAGCAGCAACTGTAGCAACAGTTTGCTAACCTACAACTTAGCTAGTAGTAAGCCCCAGCACAACTTGATTTTACAGGTGACATTTTGAGCTGGAACAACTAAATGGAATGCAGCCATCATTAAGCTAAGTCATTACACCATGGTATGATATATCAAAATATCTGCCATGAAAGGAATATTGGCTGCATGTTTTATTATCAAATAACATAATATTTGAATCAGACTAAATTTAATCAAATCTGACCTGCGTTAATAGTTAAGATGTGTTAAAGATTTCACAATTCGACATTAAAGACTTTAAAAACATACTTGTCTCCACTTTTGTTCCTTCACCAAACAGGATCTCTCCACATGTGACCACAGCACAGTAGTAAGTCCCAGCATCAGAGGAGCTCTGTATAGTTTTTGACAGACTATAGACACAGCTCTTTCCCACTTGTTCGTCACTGCTCTTCTTGGGAGTGTAAATGATGCTTGGATAGAATTTTTCTGATTCAGCTCTGAACCAGTACACACTGTGTTCACCTGGACACTGAGATGTGTTTCCTTTATTCTTGGAGGGAAGTGAACACTGGAGAGTCAATGTGCCTCCTGACTGGACTGATGCTGTCTCTGGAGTTTGTTTCACGTTGACAGATTTCTGCTGACTTTGATCTGTGTGATTGAGTTAAAAAAGGCAACATCAAAAGTGATTCACAATCTCAGTTATTTGTATGACTTAAAACTAATGGATGACTGTCAGTTCTATATGGAAAGTAACTAATTTTACCATTCACAGCCAAGAAGGTGCCTTTAACAAAGCTCTGTGAATATGGTGTTCCACTTTGACACAAGTATGTTGCTTCGTCCTCTTTACTGACATTTCTAATGGTGAGCAAATACTCAGCCTGCCCCTCGGTGACTTTGAAACGTGAGTTGTTAAATTGTGCTGTAAATGTTTGTCGGTTAAAAGTTCCTGCAGCAACTGATTGGACCATATAGCCAAGAGACTGCTTATACCAGTGAAAGAATTTCCCTTCCTTCTCAGAAACTGGACAATGCAAAGTAACATTCCCACCAACTTCAACCACAGTCAAAGAGATCGGGCGAGGATCATCTGCACTTTGAATCCGGTCTGAAGAGATAAAAAGAAATTTACAAAGATAAAAACAATAAAAGACAGAAAGTATCTAGCGTTAGAAAGATTATTGCATTGCCTTCTCTTTTAACAACATTTTAGCACAGGTCAATGTAAACAATCATTGTTTAGAGTTGCACTTACACACTGTACTAAGCAGAATCAAAGCAGTCAGTCTTCCGGTCATTGTGGTAAAACAGCTTTCTTAAGCACAACTGATGCCTTCCTACCTAAATGAAGGTTTAGTCACAAGATCATCCAAGTCTACAAAGTGGAAATCATCCTGATTGGCTGAAATGCAGAAAACGCACTTCCTCCTACTTTTAGCAAATCTATGATCCATTTTCAACAACTCTTGTTGAAAATTTAGACTGATGTACATGTGTTTTTTACAGTTAGACTATTTGATGTTTCAAAAGCAGTTTTGTTATTATGACAAGTTAATTGCTTGTTAATTTAAATCCAGGTACAGTTCATGCTTTTTCTGTGTGTCGTCCCCAGGTTTTAATGTAATATCAACTCTAAAAATAACTGCATGTGCAGATGTCCTGTATTTTTCTGCATTTGTGACATCAACCTTGTGAACAAGTTGATATTGTTAGTCTCCTTCTGATGTGCAGTGGACACCTTGCATGGCAGCCACTGCCATCAGAGTGAGAATGAATGTGACATGTAGTGTAAAGCACTTTGCGTGGTCAGAGGACTAGAAAGGTGCTATATAAGCGCAGTCCATTTTACCAGTTCTTAGAAATAATATCTGTGGGTGTTTGTGGCATGAATGAATAATGCCTCAGATATTGTAGAATGAAAGTGTAGGATTCATCATTAATAAATTTAAATATGGTGTATGAAACAAACCACTGAGTGAATTAAATGATTACTTACTCTTGCAATAAAGTCTCCTTCTGATTTTCCAGATAACAAAAGTAGGTCAAAGCTCTCAGGCGTGAGAGGATCACAGCTAAAACCTCTGCTCCTCTCACAAAGTTTTGGGTGTGACCAGTGACCGAGAAGCACTCCCCTCTCTCAGTGACAACCACTAAAGAAAAGCTGCAAACCCTAGACAAGCGCAATAAGAACACTGTGGCAGACAGTCCACAACTCTAGTACCATATTATCACATGATAAATCTAATATCCAAACTCCTCCTGCACCTTTATCTATAGTACTCCTGTACACCTTTTGTAATAATATTAAACCCTTATTTAATGCAATGTTAAGTGTTATGCTAACGGAGGGATAAGTCACATTTGCTCAGTTTGTCAACACAAATTTTTATGTGAACACGATTATTATTTTCTATAAACAAGGATCTTCTCAGAAAAATTCTATTCCTTTTTTTATTAAAACTTTGAGTAATGATTCAAGATGTAGTCAACCAAAAATCAACAGAAATATCCATTCTTAAAGAAAGCAACATTAGCAAACACAAGATAAGGCTGGAGCAGGCTTCTCCAGGCACACAGATGACCTCTGAACGGCCCTTGTCTAGGCAGTATGCTAGCAGGTCATTCAGAGACATTAACATGATTTTTGTACTTGTATGTGTTTTGAGTATAATGTGTATTTTGACCCCCACCCATCACCCCCACCCCCAAGTCATTCAATCAGTTCACACTCAGGTCCAACACAACACATTGTTGAGATTTATGAAGTGTGGATTTCACTTAAACAGAAGTCTGTGCTTATCAGTGCTACAGTTGTGTCTTTTTTCTCCCTCTTCTTGCTTTCCATTGTAGAGAGCTCCACTGATTCAGTGTCTCTGCATCGCCATCCTAAAAATTAGATTAAGACAGGACTTTAGGGGTCACTGAAACAAAGACTCTTCTTAAGTCTTTGGACAAAATAGCTCTTCCACACAAACAAGCCTGATCACTGAGGCTAATGGTACAGATTTCCTGATTTATGTGCACTAAAAATACACTGAAAAACCACAAGACAAATGTGGGATGTGACCAAAACAAATTTGATATAGTATATCTTACTAAAATGTAGCCAAGACATCGCTACCAAGGTCAGTTGAGATTTTTACTCACAAATTGCAGACACACTTGTTAGTCCTACAGGACTTTACAGTAGCATGGTCATGAATAGGTCACAAATACGTTGTGTGTTTTGATTAATTAATCATGTCAAATTGACCAAAAGGGGTAATTATCTCACGTTGAAAACTGTGATTTGTATGATGCAAATTGTGTTAAAAGGGCACTCTGGATTCAGCACTCAATTTGTTATCAGCAAGTCTTTCTAGGATATCCAGGATAATTTTTAATTGATCTTTTCAATTTTGAATGGACGAATAAAATTGTAATACAAGTTACAAGTTGTGCTCCATCTTTGCAGTGTTACTAAACTTACCTTCAATCTCTTGAGAAAATAAGAATGGCAATTACAATCACGCAGAGAGTTGATAACTGGGTCCCACAGTTGTCCTGAAATTAGAAAAAATGCTAGCATACTTTTTAAACACCTTTAATTTTACCTCATCAGTGACTTTTAGTGGCCAAACACTAAGTAACTCACAAATTCAAAATATGTTATTTTGTTTATCAAATCCATGTAATTGAAAATACTTATTTTAAATGATTTAGATCAAATAATTTTTTTGCCTTGTGTCAGTAATGATTTATGTGTCAGGTAGCGTTAAATTACATTCTCATGGACATACAGTTTGCCAAGATATGTTGCCAGTCTAATGTTTGCAATAGTAGCTGGAGAGTTGGGAGTATTGTTGTCTGGAGCTGGTGTGCTGGGATTGTCTCATCCTCTATGCATGTTAGCTTTGCAGCAGCAACTGTAGCAACGGTTTGCTAACCTAAAACTTAACCAGTAGTAAGCCCCAGCACAACTTTGTTTTACAGCAGACATTTTGAGCTGGAACAACTAAATGGAATGCAGCCATCAGTAAGCTAATTCATTACACCATGCTATATATCAAAATCAAATCAAATCTGTCCTGCGTTAATGCTTAAGATGCATTAAAGATTTCACAATTCGACATTACTTTGCTTTAAAAACGTAGTTGTCTCCACTTTGGTTCCTTCACCAAACAAGATCTCTCCACATGCGACCAAAGCACAATAGTACGTCCCCGCTCTTCTTGTGAGTGTAAATGATGCTTGGATGGGATTCTCCTGATCCAGCTCTGAACCAGTACACACTGTGTTCCCCTGGACACTGAAATGTGTTTCCTTTGTTTTTGCAGGGAAGTGAACACTGGAGAGTCACTGAGCCTCCTGACTGGACTGATGCTGTCTCTGGAGTTTGTTTTACGTTAACAGATTTCTGCTGATCTGTGATTCAGTCAAATAAAGGCATCAAAAGCAATTCACAATCTCAGTTATTTGTTTGGCTTCAAAACTTGGGGGTGACTGTCAGGGTTATATGGAAATTAACTTACCATTCACAGCCAAGAAGGTGCCATTAACAATACTCTGTGAATACGCTGTTCAACTTTGACAGAAATATGTTGCTTCGTCCTCTTTGCTGACATTTCTAATGGTGAGCAAATACTGAGCCTTCCCCTCTGTGACTTTGAAACGTGGGTTGTTAAATTGTCCACTAAGTGTTTGTTGGGTAAAAGTTCCTGTTGCAACTGATTGGACCGTATAACCAAGAGACTGCTTATACCAGTGAAAGAATATGCCGTCCTCATTAGAAACTGGACAATGCAAAGTAACATTCCCACCAACTTCAACTGCATTCAAAGAGATTGGGCGAGGATCATCTGCAGTTTGAATCCAGTCTGAAGAAAGGAGACAAACAAAAACAAATTTACAAGACTTTCACAGCACTTTTAAACACTTAAAACTAAACAATCCTTGTTTAAAGTTGTACTTGCACACTGTGCTAAGAAGAATCAAAGCAGACAGTCTTCCGATCATTGTGCCTTCTCAAGCACAACTGATGCCTTTCTACCAAAATGAAGGTTTAGTCTCAAGATGATCAAAGCCTACAAAGTGGAATCATCCTGATTGGCTCAAACACAGAAAATGCACTTCCTCCTACCTGTAGCAAATTCACAATCCATATTCAGTGACTCTTGGATGTACATGTATTGTTTATTGTTGTTTTACAGTTAGACTACTTAATATTTCAAAGCAGTTTTGTTATTTTGACAAGTTAATTGTGATTAAAATTCTGGTACTGTACGTCACTTTTTCTGTGTTGTCCCCAGTTTTTTTTAATGTGGTTTAAACTCTTTCATAAAAGGTTAATTTTCAGCACTTTAATGTATTATCTAAGTGTCAAAATGACTTATATTTCTGCTGTAAGCCGTGTGACATATACAGTGATGGACTGTCTGAGGGGCAGCAGCAAAGATTGCATGTGGTGAAACAACAGCCGGTGGCACGGTGATGCAGTGGTTAGTCGCCTCACAGCAAGAAGGTCGCGGGACCCTAAATTGTCCTTAGGTGTGAGAGTGAGCGGTTCTTTGTCTAGGTGTACCCCACCATTTCCCAGATGTCAGCTGGGATTGGCTCCTGCCCCCCGTGACCCGCAGGATAAGCGGTTGATGATGGGTGGATGAATGAAACAGCGGCCTACTGTAAATGGTACTGCATCATATTTTGTCTACTGGAAGGGAACCCTCAAAAGCCCTACACCATGCTCATTTTAAGGGCCCCTGTGTCTTGAGAACAACATGCAAAGCCACATATATAAGATGCCTTCTCCTGCTTCTCCTCCTCCTCCTGCTGCATCTCTTCCTTGTCCTTCTCCAACAACTCCTCTTGTTCCTCCACCTCTTCCTTCTTCCTTCAACTGTTGTTTATAATATATAAATATATAATGTAGCCTAGTCCTATATTCCTATAAATAAATGCATATATATAAATAATCTCAGGTTAGGCAAGGCAAGGCAAGGCAAGTTTATTTGTATAGCACAATTTAACAACAAGGTAATTCAAAGTGCTTTACATAAAACATAAAAGAAACAGGGAAATATGTAAAAGTTTAAAAGCAACATAAAATATAATAAAAGTTACAGTGTTACAATCAGGGTTAAAAGAGTTATGGAAATTAATGGAAGTTAAGGAGTTAATGGAAAATAATAAAAAGCTAAAAACAAAGAAAAAGAAAACAGGACAGTAAAAGTTACAGTGCATTGTAAGTTATCAATAAAAAGAAAAATCTTAAATATTTAATTAAAAGCAATGGTAAAAAGAAAAGTCTTCAGTCGTAATT